CTCCATTCTGGAGACTGTGTCTAATCTCATGGACTCCAGCAGTGCCTGGGGGAAAGAAGCTGTTCTACAGGTTTTACATTAACCTTTTCACAGAGGGCTAGGAGGCTGAAGTAAATTGACTGCAGTCCATTGCTCAGGACTAGCACGGGGATTTATGGTGATGGGATATCCATGTTTGCATGGAATGGTTATTTGGCTTTGGGACTCTGGATGGTTTCCATCCTGCAGGCAGAGTGAGCCAGTGTGCCGAAAAGACTTCTTTCATTATGATACATTACCAAAAACTGAATACTCAAGGCATTATTTAAGCCAAGATTTAGTCATTCAAGCCCATTCACAATAACCCTGATCAACTGAAATAATGTGCACTGCTTAAAGCAGCACACTCACGTGGAATAAACTCCAGCAACATTACTCCTCCAGGAATCCTGTTCTTGGCCATTTTGTCTGGTGGCCCAGCCCCACAGAGAGCTGTTCCGTTTGATCTCCTCCATTAGTATCCTCATCATTCCTTGGATACAATTTTGTCTCCTTCTCCAGTCAACCATCTCGGATCCCATTTGCAGAAGGCTGCTGGCTCACTTATCCTACTAGTCATAATTTAGGTGGATGAAAACAGCCAGGGGTGTCTCCTGGCATTAATCAGAGAATATTATGCACACCAGCAGTCTTCTGAACAAAACATTCCTGAGCGCAATTTGGGGGTAGAGGAAAGAAATAATCTGTAAACTATCTACTTAAGAGATTTTGAAGAAGTGCTGTGGGGTTTTTTACTTTTTTTTTTTTTTGCAAAACATAAATCAGGTGAGAGATAAAGATGCTCCCCAATGGTTAACATGCCCTCCCCCCATGTTAAATATTCAAAGTTTCAGAGGCATTTTCTTTCAATCACAGGGCAGAGGAAGAAAGGAACAAGTAAGAGGAGGGAAGAAAGTAGTAAATTATGCACCTCCAACATTGAAGGCTATTTTTTAAAAAACCCTCACTACAGAAACATGGAAGACAGATTGAGCCAAGATAACATCATGATGAAACTGAGAGGAAGACAGAGAAGCAGAATAATGGGAAACATTTCCTTCTGGGGCAGAATTACAACTTGTATTATGTATTGATCAAACGAGATTAGTAAATTAATACGCCTATATGAAGTAGCACTTTTTTGCAGAATCCTCATAAACTCCTGGAGCAATTTGCTTCAAGGTAGAACTCTGACAGGAAAAAAGAAAAGCATGAGATATCAGACTGAGTTGGTTCACTGTAGCCATCCATTCTGAAGTCCATGAAGGACTCTGAAGTAACTGCTTCCTTGAGTCTCAGAATGATGAGGTACTAGGCATAATTTCATGGAGCAGTCTTATAGTGTTACAGGCTAATTAAATATTAGCTAGATGACATACCTATTAGGTGCATCCACATCTGGCCATAATCATAACCCAAGAGTGCTCAACAACAATTGCTTACTAAATTGGAAGGAGATACTGAATGGTATGCTACAGTGTTCAGTCCTGGGCTCAGTACCATTCAATATTTGTATAAATTATTTGGACAAGGAGAGGAAGGGAATGCTTAATAAATGTTTAATTAACATAAAATTGTGTGGCGTAACTAATATTCTTGTTTGGTTACAGAAGTGATCTGAAAATAATAGAAGGAAATTTAATACAGATAAAAGTTTTTCAATCAGGAAAGAGAAACCAAATGCAGAGCTAGAGGACGGCGGAAGATACCTACTTGGTCATCAGTGCATGTAAAGAACAATTGAGGAATTATAATTCAAGATCAAATTAAGACACATATAAGTACTCTCAAGCATATACTTCACCTATTATTATAGGATAGCCATATCCTTTAATATGCATATATCCACATAGAGAGATTAAAAGATATTTTTCTTGTGTTGCAGTCTGTATATTATTTCTCATTTATCTCTGGAAATTAGAGATTCTAGCACCTCATAGAAAGCAAGGAACCCTGAAAGAAATGTTGAGACTGTTCCTAACAGGAACATAACTATAACAAAATTATATAGCTAGATATATAAATATAACATAACTAGAAGCATATTCCCAGGCTTAATATCCAGCTCAGCTCCTCCATTCTGGAGGAAAACTTGTATCAGTAGCAGCTTCTACTATATCCAAAAAGCTGCTTGTTTAGTGTGCTTTAACACTG